TTTTTTTTTTTTTTTTTTTTTTTTTTTTTTTTTTTTTTTTTGGATGAACTGCCATTTCACTTGCTGTATTCTAGAACAAGCATGCCTCCTCTTCTAGGAATCCTCTAGGGTTGCCATGGCAACCACAGCATCCACAAAGGCAGTCATGAACCAGTCAGTGGTCACTCCCCCTCTGCTGACAACTGAAATTATATTCGGGACTCCTAATCTTGAAGCCAACTAACATAGCCTGCTAGTTTTCCCCACACTGCCAAATGTTTTGTGAAATAATCAGCTATCAGAGGTAAGACCATCTGTCAACACCTGATGTGCTGCATAACTGGAACTGATAAGAAATGATTTCAAGTATTAAAAATTCAAGCTGTCCTCTCCCGAGCTTTAAGCAAGCGCTAGTGGTCATCTGATGTTTGCCAGGTTCTCTGCACTTTGAGCTTTCATACATCACCACGTAAAACTGTTGGTCGTATACTGAGTAGTTATTTTACATGGTAGTGCTAAGTACACACTGCCTAATGACTTGGATCTATTCATTAAGGCTTCTGGGCCAGAGCCCTGGGGAATGTCTAGTTGGCAGTTCATCTGTTATTACGCACATCACAGTATCTGCTACGATTTTGTCTCCTAATAACTTTCAGATTCATCTCTTCTTTTTTACTGTATTTGTTGCCACTGGCTTGGTTCAAGATTACCACAGTTTTATTGCTGGTTGGTTTCACTTTAAAATCAGCATTATTTTGGCTTGTTGGTGTGTGACATATGATGTGTACCACTGGTTTCAAATGACCACAAAATCCATATATGTTCATATTGCTGACTAGAAAATTCTGTTTCCTGTCATCTTTGAATCTATTGATATCTTTATACTCTCAATAATCTTTCAAAGTCACATAACATGCCCGACAGACTAATAACAAGCAAGCTCTCGACATCTGCATAGTGTATCTCTGCAAAAAGGGCTGCCAAGTGACATGAAATTTCATTTTGCCACAACATCCTCTGGCAATACACAGGCATCAGCCTCCATTCTAGGTTAATATGTTTATATTTAATAAGTCTGTAATCATCTTGATGCTAACTACATTGTATGGTAGTCAGTAATCTTCTGGATGTCTGTATTAGAATTAAGTTACAGTATGAATGACAATAATTCAAAATAATACTGACACAAATAAGTTAAATTTTCTCTTATGTCAACAGAGGGCAGCCATGGCTGCAAGGGTGGTTCAGTCATAAGAGACCTGTGTCCTCTCCAGTTTGGTGCTCTGCCATCTATACTGCACAGGGATCGAGATCCCTGGGGATTAAACTCAGGCAGTCAGGCTTGACAGCAAGTGCCTTTACCTGTTGAGTCATGACTTCAGCAAACCACAGGTTTCACTTTCAGGGAAACACTTTAAAGCATTTTGGGCAGGGCCATTAATAGATATTTGCATACCATGTTCATGGCAGCTCGGTTTATAGTGGCTAAAAAAAACCGAAGTGAATGTAAGCATCCATCAATAAATGAATAAATAGATGGTGTTAGATGCATAAAAAGGAATTTAATCTTGAAAAGAAGGAAATTCTGGCATTCTCAACATAGTTTCACTGGAAGATATCCCACTGAGTGACATGGTGATCACCAAAGTGAAACAGTGTACAACTTCACCTACAGGGGGACCTGGAGGAGTCAGATGCACAGGGACAAGAAATGGAGTGGGTTTGTAGGGACCCAGAAAAGGACAGAATGGGGAGGTATTGTTTAATGGTACAGGTTTAGTGAGTCACAAGGTTCTAGAGAGGGATGGTGGGGACCATTGTGTAGTGGCCACTAAACCACATAATGAAAACTTGCATCTATTCAATATTTTTTTTTTACAAAAAAGTTAAATATTCCAAAAGTAAGTATTTTTACACATATGCATTTATATAATTATACCTGAAACAATTGTATTTCAAGGATCCCCCTCCCAGTATTGATCTTATTTTGAAAATCTATATGCAACTCCCTTTACCCGGAGTTCATGCCTCAATCTAGAAGGGAATTTTCCCGTAATTAGACAATTGCCTGGATTATGGAATGCCATTTGCATTCACTCTCCTTATTCAGTGATTTGCAAGGTCAACTGTACAACTTTTTCTGTAAACTGACCTAAGGTGGCAAACTTTGAGAGCTTGATGTACTAAAATCACAAAGCATGGTCCAAACTTGCCCTTGGCAAACTTCTCTTTCAGATGGGAAATCTGCTCTTTTGAGCAATGTACTGGTAAGTGGTTTAGCTGCTGGGTGGTTCTTTTAAAAATCAATTAATGAACTTATTTTTAGGTGTTTATCATTAGGTGGCAAACATAATACACCATGCTTACACAAACTGGATGATATGACTTCTTTTTCCTAGGCAGCAGACCTGTACAGGACACTACTGTATTGAACCCTGCAGACATCTGTGACAGGAAGGTAAGTGCTTGTGCATCTAAACATAGAAAAATACATTAAGTAAAAATAAGAATAAAAATGGACAGCTGCACTGTGATCTCTGGGCCCTGCCATCACAAATGTGGCCAACTGTTGACTACAATATCACTTTGTAGGACATGACTGTATTTTAGGCTTTGTGGGCCACATTAGGCCTATTGGATATTTTTCCTGTGGTTTTCATTTTTTCTTAAATATCTGTGTATAAATGCAGAAGCCTCACTTAGTCCTGTGGTGCTGTATAAAAAGTAAGAAAAGAGCTGCGATATTCTTTGTGGTCAGAGTTAGTTCAGAAGTTGCCATTTGCTGACCCTCTTAGATCTCAGTGCCTTTCCATCAGTCATTGAGCTGTGGGTTTGTTGGGCTGGATCCTAGACAGATGTGGACACCCGATGAAGATCACTTAAGCTTTAAGGGTACTCATCACTCTGTCTAGACTAGGTAAGTAGAGCCTGTTCAGGTGAGTTTTCAGAAAGCCTGACAAGTTAGATTCAGAAGTGAATGGACCCAGGGGAAACAGAGAATGTATCCCAGCCAAGAAGACACAGGGAAAGGCCTTCTCCCTTAGAATGGCTTCAAGTTCCAACCCCAGAAGAGACACGAAACTAATGATTTTTTTTTCTTGTGGAAATTTGTGTGTCTTATAACCAGAAAAAAAAATCAAATTCCTGTTGTCTGCTACAAACAAACTCTATGGAAGACAACCTGGCAACACCTAGAAAAGCCACCAATGTCTCAAGAATCCTGCTGTCAAGGCATTTCCCAATTCATACCCTATGGCCTAGTCTCCCCGATAGATCTGGTATCCTGCTCCAACCCGCTCCTTCTACTTCCCTGGGGGACCTCAGGCAAGTGATTAGTTCTCAGTGCCCCATTTTCATCCTCCAAGGGCTGGGGGGTAATTATTTAATCCTGACAGTGTTTTGTGGGATTAAATAAATTAATATATGTAGGGTGTGATCATGTACCAAATGCTGTATGCTTCTGCTACTGTGGCAACTCTATTGTGGCTGCTATATTAGTAAAACACAGAATCACTTTAGACCTCTATCAAGAGGGTGCATACAATGAATTGTAGTATGGTTACAGTACCGAGTCCAAGCTAGGACAGGAGTGTAAGCAATCCAGAGCTATATTTATCAGCAGGTAGGAACTTTAGAAACAAATTAAAGAAAGAAACATGTGATGTGAGCCTATCCTTGCGATACAAACAAAAGGAAATTGCTGTCTTAGAGATACACAGACATAAAAGGACAAAGAAAATCAAAGGAATGGGCAGGGGGTGGGGTGTTCTCAGGATGTCAGGTAGGGAGATGGGATTAGGACAAAGCTTCAGAATCTTTATAAAGATTGTATACTCAATAAAATGACCAAGCATGGTGGCACTGGTCTATGTAGCAAATTTCAGGCCATCCAGGACTGAAATTTTATCTCAAACAAAACAAAACAAAAAACCCTAAACTCAATTGGGTGGAAGTTCATGGAAGCATGGGGACTGGAGATGGCTTGGCAGTTAAGAGCACTGGCTGCTCTTCCAGAGGACCTGGGTTAGAGTCCCAGCACCCACATGGAGGCTCCAACTACCTGTACCTCCAGTTCCAGGGGACCCAATGGCCTCTTCTAGCCTCCTCAGGCACCAGGCAAAACATCCACATATGTTAAACACAGTAAAAAGCGAGAGTGAATCAGACACTGAGGTGATCGGAGTTTGATTTACTTTCCCCAAGTTTCAATTAGGCTTGCACATGGAGCTTAGGAGTGGATAAATCTGTGCACTGCTTTACTTCCAAAAGTCACTGCCGACTTAGCCAGCTTCTTAGGCACCAGCAGATACACTGCCTTCTGGATATCTTCTAGGGTGAGGGTGCAGCGCTTTCTGAAGTACATCAGTTGGCAGGCTTCCGTGGCAATGCGTTCAAAGAGGTCATTGATCAGGGTGTTCATAATGTCCACAGTGTTCGATGACAGGCCTCTCATGGGGACAACTTCCTTCAGGACCCTGCTTATGTAGAGAGAGTAATTTCTTTGGCCAAAATTGATGCTGGAATAACGTTTTCTGAAGGCTCGTCTTTGACGTCTTTTGACAAATTGGTACCTTTTGATGATGGACTTGGCCATTGTAGATGTTGCTCTCCTTCTCAGTTAGGAATGGAGAGGAGAAGGGCCGCAGAAGGGGAGCGGTTGTCCTACTTATAGTGAGGTGTCACAGTCACATTGCCAGGGCTTCTCTCTGATTGGCACTTACTTTCCCCATGTCACAAACACTTAGCAACAGAGCTGACCTGTTGCTGAGGACAAATGGGCTCCTCTCAGGCTTTCCTGAGAAGGGAGGGTATCAAAAGGATTGATGCCAATTTTAAGCAGAAAGAAGGTGTGCTTAAGTTTTCTGCTTTTTTTGTTTTCCTCCATAGCAATTTGCATTTATCCTATACAATTTAATTAGGCAAAAGCTTGTCAAAGTGGGAGGTTGGTATAATGATAGAGAACAAAAATATTGTTAGCTTTTTTTGTGGATGTCATTTCTTATAGAAACATGTATAAATTCACTTATAATCAAATAAATAATCAAGCCATTGAAAATATAAAGTGATGGCTTTGTAATACAAATAAATGTTACTAATCTGATTTTAAGAATTGGGACCTACCCCCTAACTGATAGTATCAAGTGCTCAACCCTAACATCATATACGTATAAGCAACACTAGATGGAATCAACGGATTCTATTTGTACATTTATGCGTATGCATGCAGCAATAATTAGAAGAGGTCATGAATTTGAGGTGGAATGAGGGTATCCTGGGAGGGGTTGAAAGAAAATAACCCAAGAGTGGTTGGAGAGAGGAAAGGGGAGAGGGGAAATGTAATTACATTTAAATTAAAATATAAAAGAAAAAATGAAACCCCTCTCTTCTTACTATAGATGGACATTAAAAAAAAAAAAAAA